CGGAGGTTCACGCCGTTCACCTGCCGGGAAAGCGCCGCTCCGCTGGACAGCACCGACGGGCGCTTGCACCCACCGGGTCCGCCCTGCGCCCCAGCCCTCGGCACCGCTGCCCCCGCCCCTGTACCGGTACCCACGGTACCCACACCCTCCGTGCCTCGTCACCCAGCTCCTGTGCCCCCAGTACCATGCCTGGTACCGGCATCCGCAGTACCAGCATCTCTATTACTGGCATCCCCGGTAGCCGGCCCGCGCAGGCTGCTGCTCCGATTCTACGCACCCAGGGACCACGTCCACACCGGCACTGGGGATGGAGCCTGACGAACTGTATCCCGGGTGGCAGTGGACAGGTGTCCTGGAGATGCCTGCCTGGGACTGTGGGAGGCCGTGGAGGGATAGCAGATGTCCCCACCGACTCACCGAAAGGATGCGGTCTCCCCTCCGCAGCTCCCCGCTGAGATCGGCAGGGCCTCCGGCCAGGATGAAGGACACAAAGATCCCCTCACCATCTTCCCCTCCGACGATGTTGAAGCCCAGACCGGTGGAGCCTTTGTGCAGGATGATTTTCCGGGGCTCCCTGGCAAGACAGATATGGGACACGGAGACATCAGGATGAGTAGCACTGAAACTGGTGTCAGGGTTGGCTGTGCTTGGGCTTCCTAGCACACCAGCAGGGCTGCAGTCACCCCGAGTGTGACCTGGCGTGACTCAGCCCTCAACACTGAGGAGGCTGATAAACTGGGAGAGGTGCAGGCAGTCGCACAAGTGACAGAGCATGGACAGAGACAGAATATCCACTGTGAAATCATGCATGGAAACATTGGACTGTGAGGCGGCATCAAATGCCACAAGCCTGGTCATAGACGATGGCACAGCCGTGCCAGGGTAGGGGGATCAAACTTTTCCACACCTGTGCAGCATGGCAAGTGTGCCTGCAACCCCATGCACCTCCATGCCGCAAGCCCTGTGCAGCTCAACGGAAGTCCTAAATTTTTCAGTGATGACTGAATTCTTTCACAGGTCAAACAACAGGCAGGCAAAGGCAGAAAGATGGCCTGGCATCGCAAAAATCCCGTGTCAATTTTCGTCTGGGAAAAAAATACCCAAGCCTGATGGGAACAATGGCAGCTCCCGGCTCAAGTGCTGGATTAAAATAAGAAGGAATAAATGATGCCAGACAATTAGCACAGGCTGGTGGTGATTGTCAGCCAACACGACAATGGGGACCAACAGGTCATCTGCTGTGCTGACTGGCTGGATCCTGGGCACTCCAGTGGGTGCCACAAAGACCAAAGACCTGCTAGTGAGCTCAGCAGCCTGATCAACCCTGCATCTGCCGGGGAGCAGAGGGAGATCTCTGAGACATGGTAGGAGAGATGCTGGAGCCCCAGGCACGGCACTGGTTGAGGGCACCCGCAATAGACCCTAAAATGCTGCCAGACTTGTGCTAAGGGGACCCTAGGGCACTGGTCCAGCCAGCAACAGCCAGGGAAGGAGCAGGACTCAGGTAGCATGACCAGAGCTGGGACCCAGGGGAAAAGTTTGGCTGAGCAGACAGCACGAAGCTCTGCAGCATGGCAGCATGCTCCCAGGCCACCCTTGCAAGAAAACACCTTTTTCAGACTCCGCCAGGCCAGGCTGGAGCATCACTGCCATCATCTTGGTCAATGGGGGAAGGTTTTGGTGCTTTCATGGATGTAGGTGGCAGGATTTACCTCCAGGGACATGTGCCAGCACCCCAGAAAAAGTCTCCCACCATCCTTCCCAATGCTGGAGTCCTGATGGGCCAAATGTCACTTAGCTCCAGGCAACCACCTTATAAGGAGCAGGAGACGGACAGACAGAAGTGCAGGATGCCTTGCAAGAGGGTCTTGGTGGGCTCCTGCCCTGCCCAGACCCTGGGCTCAGCACAGCCCTGCCCTCCTGGCTCTCCCAGCTGCTCCTCTCCCCATCCCCAAGCCTCCCACCAGGCACAGCAGTATCCCAGTCCTCTACCTCTGGTCACATTTGCTCCTGTGGCCTCGCTGCTGCCTGGAAGGGGACAGGAATGTCCTGTCCCCTGTAGGACATTGATTATGAGACATTGATGGTGTACATTTCAGCATGGCAGGCTCTGCTGGTGGCACTGCCTGGGAAGCATGCGGGCCAGGAATATTCTGAATTCTCTGTGCCACGGCTGCCCCATGCTGCCTGTCTCTGCCTCTTGCTAGCTGCAGGACAGTCAGCTTCCCCAGCCCGCACACCCTGAGCGGAACACAGGGTTTTTTATGGAAGCCTGAAAGGATGACGCTTTCCTTTTGCTAGACCCTGTGCACTTACCTCCTTCCTGCCCCTGCAGACACAGACAGCATGGCCCCAACTAGGGAAGAACCCAAGCGAGGGCAAATTCGCAGCCCAGCTCCCCGTGCCTGCAGCTCCACATACACCATGCATTGCCGCAGCCCCTTGCCTTCGAACGCAGATGTACACCATAGTCATAACTCCAGCTACACATTTCTGATGGGGCAGAGGCTGAATACGCTTTGTGACCTCCAGAAAATACCTGCTTTATCCTTATAGCCTTTGGATGCATTCCAGCTCGGAGCTAAGAGGGCTCAGGACTCGGCTGGACCACAGTGTGGGGCTGGGATGCAGCAGGAGACCAGGGAAACACCATGGAAACGCCATTGGGGTCAAAAAAGGCTCAGCCCCAAGCCCTCAGGATGTCACCAGGGGCAGTTGTGAGGGGCAGGGAGGACTGCAGCCATCAGTCCTTCTGGAGCAAAGCTCTGCCTGGGGTAAGAGCTCTCCCAGGGGAAGAAATAGGTTAGATTTCTGGGTCTGCAAGCCCTGTCTCCAACCAGCTGATGAACCTGCCCTACCCCTTGGGTTTTGCTGCTGCCCAAGCAGAGTGCAGGAATCACCACCTCAACTCAGCCCAGGGTGGGGAGCATCTCCAGTACCTATAAGGACCAGACGGTTTGGTGGAAGGTAGAGAGACACTACCAAGAACCAAGGAGAGGAAATGAAGCCCCAGACAGGTACATCTCAGGTCTCAGCCCTGACACGCACTCTCCACTTCCATCCTCATCCCAGGAGGCAGGACATGGATTCTTCAGGCAAATCTCATGCTGACATTGCAGTGTTAACACTGGGACCTCAGCAAAGAGCAACTGTGGGGATCCTGTGGGGCTGTGACAGCTCTGGGTTGCAGTGGTGGAGCTCATTAGAAAACAGATGCCCTGGTCGCCGGCCCTGGGTGCTGCAGGACATGGGGGTCACTGGAGTCATGTCCACGTCTGCAGCAGCAGTTATGCCCCTGGGAGGGGAAGAGGCTTGCTACTGGATCCAGGCCAGGACCTCTGCTTCTCCTGGAGAATGTCTGGCAGGAGCCTCTTGGGAGATAGCTGCTTTTTCAGGGAAATCACTGCCTTTCCCCACACCAGTAAGATGCATTTGGAGCACACTAGTCCCAGCGCACAATCTTGGTGATGCATGAGCCAACAGACCTGCAGCGATGAAGCTGTCCTAGGAGGTCAGTGATACACATGACGTTTTCAATGGTGCCTTGGGATGGACGAGGGAGGTGCTGAGCCCACTGCAGGCTGCGAATCCGGCGGGGAGCAGGGTGCTGTGGCTGGGGACAGTGGCCGAACGGTGCCAGCTTGTCTGCAGCGGGGCCCTCCGCAAAGCAGCACCATCCTCTAGCGGCCACCAGCACATGCTGCACCAGGACCACTGCCAAAGCCATTGCCGTGCCATTGCCACTGGGCGGTGTCCAGCCTGGGCTGGGCTGCTCTCTCTGCTCTCTGGCCCGCAAATAAGGATGTTGGTGCATGTAGGAAGGAACCCCTGGTGGGACCGGCGTCCCTGGCGAGAAACAGATGGTGCATTTCCCAAGCACTGGGACTGAGTCACTTCTGTGGTGCAACGTAATGGCAGAAAGCACTGCTCCTGCGTGTGGCATCATCCCCCAGTACCCTGACAGCACAGGAGTGGCTACACCCAGTGAGGACATAGTGCCAGGAACAGGCTGTTGAGCTGGCATCATTGGCGCTGAGACCATGTAGGAAAGATGGGGCACGGGCGGAGGCCAGTGCTGCACAAGTCATGGTGCGCAGAAGTATCCGGCCACAGCCGAGCACCAAGAAGCAAGAAATCTCCGTGACAAAGGTGAGTGCAGCCACTCTCCAGCAGGACAGCGGACCTGACACTGGGTGGCAAGATGCTGGGTCTCCAGCTCCAGCATCTGCCAGCACCCTGCAGAACTGGACAATCCCAGCCAAGGCTTCAGCATCTTCTACTGCAAACGCAACTCCAAAACCAGCCTGCGACCTTGCTCCCAGCTGCAGAGCCAGTCCTAAGCCTAACCCAAGTGTCAGTCCTAAGAATACTGCATAAGCCCTACAGCCCTGGCGATATCAAACCTGGAGCAGGCTCAGCATTAGCCCTGAGGCTGTTGCAAGCAGAGGAAAAGCTGTGAGCCCAGGCAAGTAGAGCAGGACCAGCCAGGTCTTGCTCTCCCGTCCTCAGCATGAGGCTTTGGAGAAGTTTTACACTGTGTTTAGGAGCAACATCTCCCTTGTGCTCCTCTTTATTTCCTGGGTTCAGGAAACAAACCTGTTTGTGCAGCGTGAATGGTGCTAGTGGGGAAAAGGGGACTGTGCCAGGGCTGTGCAGGAGGCTGTCAAGCCCGGGACTGGCAGCCCATGAAATGGCACCTGGGTGCAGGTGGTTTGGGATGCCGGGCTCAGTAAGCATGGGAGGAGGAGACCTACTTGCACCCAGAGCTGTGTCCCCCAGCCCCTCACTCCCAGCACGGCCCCGCTTAGGGAGAGCCAGCTGGGAGCCTGTGGTGCTGCTGGCACTGGATGGCACCATAAGGGCACGGAATACCTTATATTCCAGTTATTATAAAACAAGTAACAAAACTGGAATGTAGATATGTAAGGCTCAGGGCGGAGCAGGAGGGGGAACGGGGAAGGAGGGGATGCAGCGAGCCAAGGAGTGACACAGCCGTGCTGGTCTCATGGGGAGTGAGCACAGAGCTCACTGCAGGGGCCCCAGGCTTTGCACCATGCACCCACACATGAGCTTTTGGCAGCAGGGATGAAGTCAAGCAGCCAGGGAAGGAAAGAGAGGGAAGGAGAAGGAGCAGGGATTAGGGATGCTCATGCCCAGTACTCACCTGGTGAAGTCCTCATCCCCTATCATGTGCCGAGGGATGGGTGAGTACCGGGACGGAGTCACCTGGGGAGGGACTGGGTAGGCAGGCTTGTTCTCAACGCTGCCGAGGTAGCCCAGACTGGAGTTATGGCTTATGTGGTTGTCAGCCAAAGCTGAGAAGGCTGCAGGGGAGGAGAAGGACGTCAGGACCAGAAATCCATCTGCAACGTGGATGTGGAGACCAGCCCAGAATTGCCCACCGCCCCAGCACGCTCTGTCCCCCCCAGTCCTCCGGTGCCTGGGCTGCTGTGCCAGTGGCTGGCGGCGTACGTACTGCTGGCGTAGTCGGGGGGCGCGTACATGTCGTTGAGGTGGATGTTGCCGGGCTTGGCCACTTTCAGGTACACCATGTCAGAGGTGTTCTTCAGGGCAGCCACTGCCTCCTCATGCCTCACGTCCTGCAGGTTTGTGTTATTCACCTGCCGGAGGGAAGGGGCTGGGTAACAGGGCTGCAGGCAGGAAAGCAGGGGCCACTTCAGCCCTGTGGGAGCGGAGCGGTGTCCCAAAGGGTAGATGCCATAGTAGCTCCAGAGACAGGGTCCTGACTCCATGGGTTTGGCCCTCCCACCTGCAGCTGGTGCTGCACATGCACCTCCCAGAGCACTATCCCAGCGGGGACCCCAGGGAAGGGGAGCGAGGCTGCCTAAGGTGGGAGGGGTGCTGGGGTTCAGGATCAGCACCGTGGCACGGCAGAGACTGCCTGGCTTCACTTTGTAGCTGTCTGCGGGCATGGGGCTTACCGCAAGCAGCCGGTCACCGATCTGCAGGCGCCCGTCCTTCTGGGCAGCACCTCCCTCGATGATCTTGGTGATGTAGATGCTGTTGTCCCCAGGGATATGCTGGTTCCCGATGCCCCCTGCGATGCTGAACCCCAGGCCTGAGGGGGAGCGAGAGGGCAGGTGAGGGACAGATGGATGGAAGGAGCCCCGGCCTGGCACCACAGCCCCTCTGCCTCTCTGGGCTTCCCACCCTGCCCCAAACCCAGCAGGCAATGGGCCACCCTGCTGCTGTGTGGGGCCAGCCCAGCCACCGTGCACTGCAACCCATACCCCATAGCATCCCATGCTGCTGGGCCAGCCTGTGATATCCTGCACCATGGCGGTGCCACCTCGCATCCCACATCCCCGTGATTCTGCCTTGCACCCCATGGCATCCCACACCGGGGGGGTCACCCCACACCGTCCCATGGGGCAGCAGGGCACCCTGGTCCTGTGAGCAGAGTGAGGGGTTCACCTTTGGGGCCCTTCATCAGGTTGACCTCCATGATGGTCTCTGGCGGGGGCTGCCGGCGGCGCACCACGAGCCGCACCACGGGGCCCGCTTCCTTCAGGGCCTCCACGGCTTTGCTGTGCACTACCTCAGAGACGTCCACGTCGTTCACCCGCAGCACGCAGTCGTTCACCCTGAGGGCACAGTGTGGCCCTGAGCTTCCCTGGGGAAGCACCAGTCTGTGCCACCCTCCTCTGGACACCTCTGCCAGCCTCCTCCAGCCATGCAAACCCTTGTGCGAAGGAGAGTTGCTCAAGCTGGCCAGATCCTGCCCTGCTGGGGTGAGAGTGGGGTCCCTCCTGAAGGGGGAGGGAGCAGGGCTGGTCCCCATAGTGTGATTCCAGTGGAGATGAGAGATGAGGGGAAAGGCTGGATCCTGTCCCAGGCTGCAGGGGGAAGGATGGGAGCTGGAGCCTGGTGCAGGGAGAGGAGGAGGGGTGGCTGCAGACAGAAGGCTGGTGGCAGGGGGGCGCATCCCTGCGCTGAGGAGACGTGGCTGGGGGGAAGGGACGGGGGGGGGCCAGGGACCATGGCAGGGGAGGGGGGCAGGAGCTGCCTAGAGGGTCTCTGGGGAGATCCCGGGTGACACCCTAATGGGGGTGTTCTGCTGGCCCTGTACTCACCCCAGACGGCCGTCCATGGCTGCTGCTCCCCCGGGGATGATTTTGGTGATGAAGATACCTGGGTCATCTGGAACATGGGGGTTGTCAATTCCTCCTGCTATGCTGAAGCCGAGGCCAGAGTTACCCTGCGGGAAATCAAACACCACGTCTTTCCCCCACGGGCAACTGCTTGTTGCTGGCTCTCCCGAAGCAGTTCCTCCCCAACGACGGCTGCCTGGGGTGTGGGAGCCCTTACAGCATCTGTTGTGCCCGAGGGTGCCAGGCTCAGGGGGCAGAGGGATGCGCGGCCGGAGGGGAGGCCAGCGCTCATCGGTGGAGGCACTCAGTGCAGCAGCGCGGAGCGCCGAACAGATGGAGCAGGGGAGCGAAAAAAAAACTCGCTGCCACGTTTCTGCCAAGAGACTCTGAGGCAGGCGGCAAGCTGGGGGAATAGGGGGTGGTCCTTGGCGGAGAAAACCTCCCCTTGCTGGCTGCTCCCCAGGAGGAGATACTGATGCTGCAGCCTGCACAGAGCAGCAGGGCTTCTGCCAGTCACCAGCAACCCACCCCTGCCCCTCTGCACCCTGGGATGCAGCCCCGGCATGGAGCCAACCCAGGGACCACCAGTGCTGATGCCAAAATTTGCACGACTGGGTGGAGGGGACTGTCAGGATGGAGTGGGGTCTCCAGTTCTGCCACCTGTTCCCCCTGAACATGCTTGGAACATCACTGAGCTTCACCCTCCTGAAGTCTGCCTGAGGGTAATGCAGGGGCTGTCCCACATCTCCATCCCCATCCCAGCAGCATCCCAGGATAAGCAGCCGTGATCCTGTGCTGCCTCTCCCGCTTGCAAGATCCCCATTAGTGACACACTCACAGGCGCTGCTTCCAGCTCTGTGCTTGATGCAAGTGGACAATTCCTGCTTTTTCTGCTCTGCCTTGAAAATCAGATGGCTCCTCGCCTTGTTTTCTCATGCAGAAGAGCTAACACTTAGTCACATCCTATTGTGCCCACCTCTCCAGTACACAAATGGGCTCTGGCCAAGCACTCTCCCAGCTGCTCAGGGGCCCAATGCTCAGTGTTGGGCAATGGGGAGCTCTGTTCTTCTGGGGGACCTGTGGCTAGGAGGGCCACACCGGAGCTCAGGCTCCCTGGGATCATCTAGCACCAGCAGCCGGCTGAGGCTTGTGCTTCTCCCTAGCAACTCAGGGCCAGCATCAGTTCTTGGGGGAATGCAGAGGTATCCACTCTGCCTTTATGCCACCCATGACATAGTATGTGGCATTTGCAGGAGCCATCAATGCCTCTCACTACACAACACTCCCAGATACTCTCCTGCTGGCTGGGATTTAGCCAGCACATGACAAGGAGGCATTCAATGGTGAAAGGTCTGAGGCTGCTGTCCTTCCTCTAAGCTGGGTTCTGGTTACACCATGCCCAGCTCAAAAAATCTACTTACTGTCACCAGAGACTCAGCCTGGCCCCAGCAAGGCAGGTGAGACTGTGCAAAATGGTCTCCAGCCATTCGTTGTGCCTGTCTACGGAAAACTGTGCTCCGATGGTAGCTACAAAACCTGGAAGTGATCCAGGAGGTGTTTATTTTTATTTTGATAAACTTTGAAATTAAGTTCAAGGGATTTCTTAACTGGCATTGGGGTTGATATAGACATAGGGGCAGCTCCTGCTGCGGACACATGCATGGCGGGTAAACCCAAAGCCATGTCCCTCTGTGGACGGTGTTTCCTCAGTTATTGCCCCCCAAATGCTGCTGCATTTGCTATTGTCTACAACAAGGACAAGGATTAGTAACAGTGACAGACCAGCAATTTTGGGATACACTGAGGTCATCCCTGGGAGCCAAACACCCCAGCAAGGGGGCAGTCTCACCTGCAGGCACCAGGGTGCTACTCCTGCAGTAAGACAGGGCTGTTGGATCCCACTGGGGACGAGGTGAAGGGGAAGGACCTGGGTATGGTCCATGCTGGCCCTGGCTACTAAGCACCGAAATTCCATCGTGGTTTCTTGCTGCTGGAGAGGGAACAGCTGTCTGGGGCTTTGAAATGGGGCTGGTGGACTCTACCAACTCTACCTCTGCTCCCGCTGTGGGCTGAGGACAGAGGATGCTCTGAAGAATCCCTGAAAACAAGGCTTTTGCCTCTAAATTAGGCCCAGAGTGAGAAACACTCAGCCCAAAATGGAAGCATCCCCTGGGCTGGTTTCGTCAGGCATGCCGGGGAAGCGGTGGGTGAGGCGGCAGCCCCAGATAACCTTCCGTCCACCCACCTCCGTGATGTAGAGTCAAGGGGAGGAGGGAGATGACTAAGGGCAGAGAGGAACAGAATAACGAGCGATGTGTCTTCCTCTGTGATGCCAGCCACGTGGCAAGACCAAGCCACCCAGTGTGGCAGCGAGGAGGAGGCAAGGTGTGCTGTGGAGCACTGTGGGCAGTCACCTGCCCTGGCCATTGTCACTCGGCAGGGCTGTGCCCACCTCTCAGACCAAACTTTGGGCCAGATTTTCCTACTCCCTCTCCATCCTTGCCACTCCCTGGGTGCCAGGGGAACGCCCTCCCTGCCCTGCATGGTGCTAGCTCACCACTGGATAAGCCCCATCTGCAGGGGGAGCTAATTTTAGCCACAGCCAGCATGGTGCATGCCATCAGCCCTGTGTTGCCAACAGACAGTAAAAGGCTTGAGCAGAAACTCCCCCTGTTGTGGCCTGGTTTACTAGAAAACCTGTTCTTGCTGCTTAGCATCCCTGGGCTGTGTACACCGAAGCAATGGGGAGCCTAGTGGCAGGGAGGCATTGGTCCGCTGTGACCGGCTGTGGGGTGCACCTGCCCACACGCCTGCATGAGCAGAGCTCCCTACACCTCCCTTTTCCGGCAAAGACGGCGACAAAGAGCCCCCCCCCCGGCTCCACACTGGTGGGTTTGTGGGGGCGAGGGTGTGAATGAGGGAGGCGAGGGAGAAGCCATCCTCCCTCCCTTCTGGAGGGGTCTGCGAGGGGGTGGGAGCAGCAAGCCCATCTCTCCCTGTGCCGTGGGGGTCATGCAGGGAAGGCAAGTGCAACACCCCCAAAAGCCTCTGGAGAAAGCAGGGAGCAGAGACCAACCTCTCCCCATCAGCTGGCGTGGGGATGCGGGGGGTGCTGGCTGCACTGGTGGGAGGGTGAGTGGGAAGAGGTAGAAAAGGCTGCCGGCGGCTGAGTAAAGAGCACTTACCCTTTCCAAGACAATCTCCTCATATTTGAACATCCCATCGCTGCCATTCACCTGGGGAGAGGGAGACAGCACGTTACGGCTCTGTGCCAGTCCTGGGGGGATTTGCTTTTCCCCTCTGATAGCTGAATATCGAGAATCTAACCTAAAAGCTGCGCCATCACCGCTGAAAAATCCTTAAATGCAATCACTCAAGCCTGCCCTGGAATTAAGCCATGCACTGCTTTTCTTTCTGGGCATGAGCCAAAGCCCACTGACTTTAATGCACTTCAGTGTAAAGCCTTTATTCTCCCAGCTCATTTCTCCAGCCATGAAAAGGAGGAACACAACTGAAGGCAAAAAAAAAATAATGTCTTTGTTATGCAGCATGTAATTAACCTCAGGAATTCACTGCTGCAGGAAGAAAAGAAAAGGGGTCAGTCCATTTAAAGGAAAAAAAAAATTAATGTCTGTACATAATAACTTAATAAACACCTTTAGCAGCTTATATCTTTTAAGTGTTTCAGTAGCATGACTGTGTTAACGAGGAATTCAGAATAATTTATTCTATTGAATTAGTTGTGTGCAAAGGAAATGAGGTGCGAGTGTGGGGCACAGTAAGAGGGGAAAACATTGTGATGCCCTTATCTAAAAAAAAAGGTGTAGCCTGTCTCAGTGCTGTACACCATACTGATCCCCACATTTAAAAATCTCCCACACCCAGAGTGGCAAAGCAGGGATCTGGGAAATGTAATGGCTTGAAACAAAAGCGATGCAACTGTAGGCTCTAAAATAAGAAATGGTAAATGTAAAGGTCAAAAACTTAAATTTTGCCCATAAGCAACAATATACAGGAAAATAAGGCAGCAGTTTCACTCCAGGTCATCAGGATCAGGCCATAAACAGTCACTGAGGCCTAAAATATAGCAAGGTTTGCAAAGCAATTTGCTATTGGAACATCCAGGGCTGTTACACTCAGCAGCAACAGTTTGCGGGGGGCTGGACTCAACCTCACAATTTGAGTCACTCTGGGAAACAAAGGATGGGACACAGGCAGGTCTGCATGGCACAGCAGAGGCAGCAGGACCCG